AGCAGACTCCCCACATCATTTCCCCTAGAATGCTTAGGTGGTCTATTTTTTTGTCTGCATATGATTTTTCATTACTCCACAAGCCTGGGAAAGAAATGGGCCATGCTGATGGCCTCAGTAGATTGCCCCTGCCAGTAGTAGAAGCTGACCCTGCGCCAGCTGTCAACATTCTATCAATCCAAGCCTTGCCCGAGCTCCCTCTTAGTGCCAGGGATGTTGCCGCTGAAACAGGTACAGATCACACACTTTCACGTGTCCGTTCCTGGGTTTTGTCCGGTTGGCCTGAGCACTGCCCTAGTCCTGAGTTTCAGAGTTTCTGGTCCAAAAGGAACGAGCTGTCCCTTTCTCAGGGTTGTCTGCTTTGGGGAAACAGAGTTGTCATTCCCACCTCAATGAGGACTAGGGTCTTAGAATCCCTCCACGAGGGTCATCCTGGCATTGTTCGTATGAAGGCTCTTGCGCGCAGCCACTTGTGGTGGCCTGGTTTAGATAAAGATATTGAGGCTAAGGTGCATGCATGCCACCTGTGCCAACGATCTCGCCCAGAGATGCCCCAAGCTCCCGTGCATAGATGGGAGGAAACACAGTCCCCATGGTCTAGGGTGCACATTGACTACGCTGGGCCCTTTCAGGGCCAGTTCTTCTTGGTCCTTGTTGACAGCCATTCAAAATGGCTTGAGGTTGTACCTGTCTCATCCACCACCACTGCAAAGACTATTCAGGTACTGAGGGGGATTTTTGCTGCACACGGGCTTCCAGATGTCATTGTGTCTGACAACGGCCCTCAATTCACTTCCTCCGAATTCCAAGCTTTCTTACAGGCTAACATGATTCGTCATGCCACGTCTGCACCCTTCCACCCGTCCACCAACGGTATGGCTGAACGTATGGTGCGCATCACAAAGGACGCCTTGAAAGACTCACCTACGGGGACTGGCATCACAGGTTGGCTGACTTTCTCCTTTCTTATCGCACCACACCGTCCACTTCTACAGGGAGAAGCCCAGCTGAACTTCGTTGGGGGCGTCAACTTACTACTAAACTTGACCGGTTGCATCCGGACAGATTGCCTTCATCTACCTCACATCCTAGGGCACCTAGACAACTACTTGAGGGTGCCCCGGTCTGGACTCGCAATTACGGGCCTGGTCATACATGGGTCCCCGCTTCTGTTTCCAGGGTCACGGGTCCTCTATCCTACGAGGTAGCCCTGGACAACGGTCGTGTCCTGCGCAGGCACATCGACCAACACCGCCCTAGGCGGCATCTTCCAGCTGAGACTCCTGGGTCTTTTCCAGGGGGGGAGGGGGACCCTTTGGAGCAAAGGGAAGGGCACGAGCTGCTGCCCACCTCCACTGATGGAGCCACTGACGGCCCATTTCAAGCTTCCGCAAGTGCTCCGAAAAGGAATTCATGGAGCTTACCCACACAACAGGCACTCACGCCTACTCCAGCCAGGGAGTCACCCCGGGGGCATACTCACTTTCCACACACATCACACAGCACTCCAGTCACGGAGGATACCCGGGAGCATCCCAACAAATCATTCCCCGCAAGAGAGCTGGCACACAATCCCCAGAGTTGGCCTGACCTTACCCCAAATCCTACAGGGGGTCAAACATACAGGGAGGTGGTCGAGGAACCAAGTCCCGACTACAACACCTCTAGCCCAAATCAGGAAGTAACTGAATTTTGGGAAGGTACAGAATCCCACACAAGCCCGGATACAGAACGGGACTTAAGGGATGGACAGCCCTCTGACAGGTCTTGGTTGGACTTAGGAGGGTCTGCAGAAATGCCCAGCAGTGGCTATCACTTCAAGGGGCCCGAGGGCCTACAGCTAGGCGGGTCAACCAGGTCACAAAGTGACAGGAGCCCTGGCCTGACGAGCCTGGTGGGCAAGCAAGCAGGCCAGGCATTGGGGCAAAGTCCTTGGAAGGCACCAAGGCTTGATAAGGGGAACAGGCTCTTGTCACCCCTCAGTCAGGGAACATCTGTCAGAAACCCAGAACTGAGAAGGTCACAGAGAGCAAGGAAATCTCCTAAATACTTAGAAGATTACATAACATTGCTGGCTAAACAAAAGCCAGATAACGATAGGAGCACTGGGAAGCAGAACACTGCATAAAATAAATGATTATATGTTGGTAGTAGTTTTAGCCCGGGGGAAAGGGGTATTATGTCTCGAGTCTTGCAAACGGCTCGGGGCGTTTGCAGGCAGTCCCGGGCAGGTGCAAAGCTGCCCGGGACCAGACAGGCTGTCGCCAGCGCCGTGCGCATGCGCGGGTGCTGGCGCGGGAAAAGTATCGCATTGACCCGGGAAATGCCTATATAAGAAGCTGGGAGGTTTTGGGAGCTGCTGAAGCCATCTACTTGTAAGCTGAACACAGAATAAAGAAAACTGAGAACTACAACTGCTTCTCGTGTCTTGCCTTTCCGCGAAGGACTCAACAAGATCCATGTCTCTTCTGGTTAGTCAAGGCCTCCAAGGAGATGCTGTATGGTTAAGTTCCAGTTGTGCTCCTTCAAATTAGTCTTTGAAGGAGATGATCCAATCTGTGCTTAAAGAATCTGCCCCCTCTTCAAGAAGCCATTATTGCACTGAATGGTAGGCACAATTTTTGAGGAATCTTGTTGAAAAAGTGATCAGGCTACAGCTTCAGGGACAAATTATCTGGATCTCTTTCAGCAGAATCAGAGTTCTGGCTCATCTGGTCCAGCAGTTTACTCTCTTAGTGGTCAACCAACTGCACAAGGAAACTTTTTATCGGTCAGTTGATAATAGTTAATGTTAAATTTGATCACAGCAAAAAGGCATAGAAGGAAAGAGCATTATTAAATAAAATTTTATCCATAGTTTGAACTAAAAACATTTGTCTCTAAAGTAGACTAGCCAAAAACCACAGTTCATTTCTCTGCAATTTGTCATGTAGATTGATTGAAAAAAACCATTTATTAGGAAAAATGTGTACAGAATGTATTATCAAAAGAAGGTTGCTTGCCAAACTATCTATATTAAATGAAGTTGCATGAAAAACATATATATTAGGAAATATATGCACCAAAATGCATAGAACTTTAAAGATGTTCCTGAGCACAGTATGGGTGATGGAAAAAATGCAAATAAGTTTTTTTTATTTAGGTTTACAACACTGTGTGGAACCATGGTGGTCATTTCTGTAATTTGATTAAAAACTGACCAGAATTTAAGAAATGCTTGTTTAAATCATATACAGCAGGGGTGTTAAACTGCCAGCCCGCGGGCTGTTTGCATCATACAGAGGCCACGCCCACCCCAATTCCAGCAATGCAAAAAAAGTCGCAATATGTCGCGACACGTCATGTGATGCAGCAAGTTTGATACTTGTGATATACGGTATCATTCCCATTCTTTAACAACCTTGGCAACCTTAAGATTGGAGAGGAGGCTGCAGTCCACTCACCTTAAAGCTGCCAAGATTGAGAAAGCACAGACAGCCATAATATCTTCATTTTGTAGAAAGCACCTCATATACTGTGCATCATTATGACCAGCTTCGCATTCAGTGGTTTTGGCAAGCAGCAGCAATGCCTTTGCAGTACTATATGCTAGAAACCTGGTTTCTATTTACTTTACATTTACTTCCCATATGGACATATCTGTTATGATTGGGAACTTATTAGCCCAAGATGTAGCTTTGCTATTATGGCTTTGAAATTGGAAGAGCAAACTCGGGAAGTGTGTTTTGTGTTGTTTTATATTTTCTCTATCCTTTCTTGTTTTATAGTTATTTATGGTCTGTGGTGATTCAGATTCCATTTTCTGACTATTTTGGCTTCGTGACTGCTACTTTTTTGTTAAAATAAGGACATACAGACTTTTTTAAAAATTAAAAATGTGTTTTTGAAAGGGATGAAGGGGCTGGATGCATATCTGGTTCTTTGGGGAAGAGAACTTGATGTCTATTACATTCCAAAACACCAATATTTCTTTCCCCCATAACTCATTAACTTTATTGTTGTCATTGGCCAATATTAATTGACCTGATAAATACCATTGTGATAAACACCAACTAGAACGGAAATCTTCATGTAGGCTTTTAGCAAAAGAGTAAAGAGAAGGCAAAAAGGAAATGTAATAAGACCAAATTATCAAACTGGCATTATTTTCCCAGCTTTACAAATTACAACTTTGCTTTGAAATTGCAGCAGTTTTCTTCTGTTCACAGGTACCATTAGGGGCATAAATATTAATGAGTAGGTTCTTTTTGTTTATCCTATTTCGTCCTAAGTCACCTCTTAGCCCTCCTATCCTGAGGGTTTGAGCTTAAGACTGAACTACTAATTACTAAGGAAGTGATAGTTGGTAGCACCTAGACTTACACTAGTTGTAAAAGACAGACACCTCTAAAGTGGTGCAGTTAATAGTAGTTTGCTAATGCTAAATGAATCACTGGGCTTGTGACCACTACTGAGGTTGAAAGTCATGAAACATGTCCATGTTTTCCTGCAAATACCTCAATTGGGGGAATAGGGGAGGATTATAGTTTGATTAAGAAAGCACGTTTATAAAATTGACAGAAGAGTGCAAAATGTCATGCATAAGCCTTCCAAAAAGCCCCTCTAAGTCACACACAGATTATCTCATGGCTGAGCCTGAGAATCAATAGGCTTATATATGTCTAATTGCTTTTAATGCTGGAAAAGTAACCAAATTCCTATTTTAATTAGTACCAAGAACTAGATAATAACTCTCACACTGAGCCTGCAATATTACAAAGTAGCGCATCTTTATATATGGCTGTATTAGAACTATATTTATTGCAATTATATGTACAGCAACTCTGATTACTTACATTAACCACTTTGTTCATATTAGTAGGTTGCTGCACCTCCAACCCTGCAACCAGTTCTGCAATTTTTTAAACTCCATTAAGAGAATGTTTTTGTTATAGAGCAAAAGATTGTGAATTAGAAATTCTGAGAACTGATTTAATCTATTACCAAATTTTCTGTTTCAGGTGAAATCAGAGTGGCCTTTGTCCTATACAACAATCTGGGCCCTTATCTGTCCACAGAGAATGCCAGCATGAAATTAGGGATGGAAGCCATGTCTACTAATCATTCTGTCATAGTGAATTCTCCCATCATCACAGCAGCAATTAATAAAGAGTTCAGCAATAAGGTTTACTTGGCTGACCCTGTTGTGTTCACTGTCAGACACATCAAGGTGAGGACTTGCTTCCCTGGCAGAAAGTCTCACATTTTGGGGGGGATTATTTGTCACTGTTCCTGAAAACATCATAGAAAGTGTTCACTTCCTCCCCTACCCACAATATATGACACTTTTCAGGAAAAGCAAACCCCCGTCCACGAAGTTATCTTAGCTACTTAAAAAAAAAAATCTTCATAAACCACTTGGGGTTTATAATTGTTTTGTAATAGAAATGAAGTAATTCTGCAGAGCTGACTTTAGCTCTAAACAAATCAAATAATTGGGCATGGGATAATTTATAAAAGTGAGAACAGCAATGTTCCTGGGATGTCCATTACCCTCTGCTGCTAATGGTTAGAAGAACAGAGATGATTTCATTTAGTACTTCTTCATCTATTTCTTCCCTATAGCAGTCAGAAGAAAATTTCAACCCTAACTGTTCATTCTGGAGTTATTCTAAACGCACAATGACAGGATACTGGTCAACTCAAGGTTGTCGGCTCCTCACAACAAACAAGACACACACAACATGTTCCTGTAATCACTTAACCAACTTTGCTGTTCTGATGGCCCATGTGGAAGTGAAGGTAAGTGATGGATAAATACATTTATTAAAAATAGGAAATGGTTACAGAGTGGAAGGTGGTGTCATCTATATGTGGATGATACTACAGTTTAACACCTCATACTGAGCAAGTGATGCCATTCACTTGTCTACCCAGTGCCTGCCTGGGGATGAACCAGTTAACCAGTTAACTCAACCTTGGCAAGACAGAATGGCTTTGGGCTTTTATTCATGCTTGGGGGCCTGGTGATTTGTCGTATTTGATAAGGTAGCACTCTCTCCAACAGAGTTGGTAGGCAATTTGGGTCTCCTGGACTCATGGTCCTGCTACAGAAGCAGGTGGCAGTCATGACTAGGGAAGGACTTTGCACAAGTTCATCTTGTGTGTCATTGCACTCTTTCTTAGAGCTGGGAGCCTTGCTCACTCCTGGGTTATCACTTCTTAGCTTAAATGTGTAACATGCTCTGCATGGGGCTGCCCTTAAAGATTTCCTGTAACTGGTGCTGCATGCAGCAGCATGCAAAGTTCTGTGTGCTTAATATTTCACCCATGTTACATCACTGATACATAAGTTGCACCGCTTTCAGTTGTTTTCACGGTACACTTTTATCACTTTTAAAGCCCTACATAACATGTGGTAAAGTTAGTTATGGAACTGCCTTTCCATGAAGGTATCTGCCCATCCAACCAGATCAGATAGGCTTGGCATCTTTAGGTCTCTTCCCTTAAATGTTGCTGTCTGGTAGGATTTTGGAGGTGTGCCTTCTTCGTGGCTGTCTTCTTGTTTTTCATTTTAATTTCTGTCTCAAATGACTTTTGAAAAGTTCTTTAGAAAAAAATTAATTCAGCAAATTCACCATTGGCTCAATTCATCATGTAGATACAGCTATTCCTAAAAATGGAGAGGATGTCAGAATTCCAATGTATTTTGTATTTCTTTCCTATGACCTCATTTTCGCCTTCTATTATTCTATTGTGGGAAGGGGAGGCCTAAGGTTGTTCTGCTGTATACTTCCTTTTCTTTATTCTATCCTCTTGAAGTATCTTTCTTGGGGTGTGAAAGGAATGTGCCTCTGGCCATCTGCCTTTTCTCCAGGCGGAGGGGAAATAGCACGGAGAAACCTGACATCCTTGAGAACAGCGCCTTATCAGTTCTTTCCCACAACAACTTAACCCCTATGGATTGGCTCAATTCAAACCAGCCTGATGGACAGTTGGGATGGGGTTTGAAAGGGCTCTTTTAATGTAACATTTCACTCAGGAAATCCTCAGATCTTGCCTTACTATCCTGCTATCAATACCTTCCAATAAATGTTCCTGTTGAGACAATGCAAGTTTCAAGAGTTCTGCTTTCTTGGGAGGCTTAACTGAGGTAGGTCCTTACAGAGGATCACATTATACCTGCTTGTCATATAACTGCTAAAGGCAATTGGTTAATCTGTCTTTCAAGTTGTTTTATTATTGCATTCTCTTCTGTTTCTTTATGACTATACATTTGGGGTTCCATTTTGTACACTGCTTTCTTGTCATTTGATGAAGGGTGCTTTAGAACTATTTTAATGAATACATAAATAGATGGGTGCTTTTAAATGAATGCATAACTTCAGAGCCAAATGAATTTCATTCTGGTTTAATAAACACAATTTAATGGAACTTGCTGATGCACTGTTAGTCTCTTGTCCCTATATTCATAAGAGGTGAACACACAGCTAAAGCAGAGAAAAAACAAGCTTGTCAGTCAGAGATAGATACTAGGGAAAATACTATAATATAACTCATTGTTAGTTATTTTATAAATACCCTGATAACCGTACAGTGATTTATAGATGTTATCTTGAAAGCAGACTCTTATAGAAAATTTAATTGAGATTGTACTTTGGAGAGCAAGATTATAGAGTTACCTCTAACCTGGACTTGAAGATTAAGTCGTCTTTGGTTCTCTTAGATGCTAGTGATCTTGTCATTCCCATTCCTGATGCACACAAAAAGTTTGGATATGGTTTTCACTGATCTTATTCTTAATCCATCTTTAGAATGATATATATCATTCATTTTCTTAAGCTCTTACTTAGATAACCACATACTTAGTCTCTCTTCAAGCCATAGATTCAAGGTAGCTATTCTCATGCAACAGATAACATGACCTCTACTACTATGATCATTCCATTGTCTTGCTCACTGTAAAGCTTTCAAAACTTATTGTATTCCAGATGAGAAACGGGCAGATAATTACTTTAACCTCAACTACATAGGAACCAGGCTTGATGGTTTACTCTCCTTGGTTCTTAAAGGAAAATTACCAAAGTCCCCATGTCTATGAGGACCATCAAAAACACACTTTCAATAAAGTGTGTTGGCTTATAAAAGGTGCCACCAGACTTTTTGTGTTACATGATTAACAGCTAACACTTGGATTTCATAGAAAATATTTCATTTCAGTCTAATGCTGATTCTGGATATTTTTGTACAGATTGTTTGCCTGGAAGATATGTTTAACATATTGAATCTTAGTATTCAATTAAATGAACATTGACTTTAAAATGTTCAAGGGAATAAGACAAGGTATATTCAAAGTTCACCATAGGATTTGGTGGAAACCCTCCTATGACAATGGAAGACAGTGTTACAGTCATGACCTATACTTGAGCAATACCTTAGTTACAAAGCAGAACATTACATTGAAAGAGCTGTTTTACTAGCAAAAATAATTATAGGATAATTGCTGCTTATGCTAATGGAGGGAATGAATGGTAGAGTTGTGATATCACCTAATATTTTGTATGTGGTGATGCAGTTGTCTCCTGGAGAAGTATTTCTATTGTTTTGAGTTCATCCCTTCATGGGCACACAGCATCTGGACATCATTACCACCATAATATTTGGTCACTGTGATATTTCCATCCATGTTTCTATTTTCTAGTTATGTATTACTTAAAATCCAGCTTTCACTTAAAAGTGGTAAACTGAAAAGTGTACTAGTATTATAAATATGCTGTCTGCCAGAAATGAAGTGCATGTTTTGTATTTATATGATTTGCAGAATTATCCTTGATGTAAATCTTCCTTGATGGTTTAGATACTAAATTACCTCAGGTCATATTCTTTTTTATCCAATTTTTTTAAAAAAATAACTTTGCATTGTTTAAGATTCTTTGTTCTCAGGGGAGGGAGGAATATACAGGTAGTCCTCAAATTACGAGTGTAATGGAGCCTGCCCATTCCACACATAACTCAAAAACTCGTAGAGTGACTCTCGTTCAAGGTATGAGATCACTCTCTTATTCGTTAAAATGCACACGGCTCATTAAGCTGAACATGAGGTATCTCAGGGTGGGGAAGGCGATGGAGGGCCTAGTGTTGGAACAGGCCCCCAAGGCTTCCCCAACTCACCAAGATATTGCATGCATCCCCCTCCCTTCTGGTAGCACCGGACTCACCTAGAAAAGATCTGTCTCCTCTTTGCCACAGTTCCGTGACCCCGTGGCCCGATCCAGGCTCCAGAGGCCTTTTTCAGGCCGCTATCACCTGGATTTAAGGCCAGCAAATGCTTCCGCAGCCCCCCACGGCCCAATCAGGCCTGGAAAAGGCCTCCGGAGCCCAGATCGGGCTGCAGGGGATTGCAGGTGGCAGGGCCTGGAAAAGGCTTTCGGAGCCCAGATCGGGTCACGGAAGCATTCCCCGGCCTCAAATCCAGGCAGCAGCAGCCTGGAAAAAGCCTCCGGAGCCTCGAGCAGGCCATGGGAGGTTGCATGGAAGCGTCCCCCAGCTTCAGTTCTGTTCTCTGTTGCAGAGAACAGAGGCCTAAAGTACCATGAGATCATGCGAGATCATGCAGTAATGCATGATCTTGCATTACTTTAGGCCTTCATTCTCTGCGAATGGACCAAAGGTTTGGAGCAGCCAAGAAAGCGAAAGATTTTGATCTTTCCAGGGTGAGTATTGAAGGCCTAGTGCCTAGGGAGACCCGGGGCGGGGGTGGGGAGGGAGGTGAATGTTACAGGGCCACTGCGGTCGCTTGTAAGGGTGAACAACTGCCATGGTGCTGCAATATTCATAACTTCAGGACTTGCTTATAAGCACTAGGGGGCGCTCATCACATAATTTTGAACTAGTGTTAAGTGAACGCTCATAACTCAGGGATTACCTGTAGGTGCCATTTCATCCAACACTGATGAAATGGCCTCTTTCAAGAATTTTATTATCTAACATGCTAGTTGAAATATTAGGAAAGTGTATAAACCTTCTGATGGTGACTCTTTTCCCATAGGTCTTCCATTCAGTATGTAGAATAATTGTCTATTTGGGGCAAAAGATATGTCCTAGAATCAGTGATGCTATCAGGATTTCCTAATACTAAGGAAGTGCTTGACCTACACATATAGGAATATAATGTCTAACAAATCTAAAGCTGATGACTATGAGGAGAGCTTTTATCATAAGATTATTTATAAGTCTCACAAGTCAGAGTACCACTTGCATGTTTTCATGTGTTTCCATTGCTTCCTATCCCTCTGCTTGGGTGGCAGGTTTTGATGTATACTATACTCAGATTGCATCTGCCCCCTTGTGCCAGTGAGATGCCCCTGATAGTTTAGGCCAGTGGTTCTCAACCTTTCTAATGCCGCGACCCCATAATACAGTTCCCCACGTTGTGGTGACCCCCAACCACTTATACATCACTGGGTGCCAGGGGCGTGGCCCAAGAAAAGGGGAAAAAATGGTGGACAGCCTTGTTTGGTGACCCCCGTGAAATCATCATTCGACCCCAAATGGGGTCCCGACCCACAGGTTGAGAACCACTGGTTTAGGCGCTATTAGATTGATTGTATTACAGATACTCATGATTAAAAAGTGCTACTGCTATATTTCCCAATCTCTTCAAGGGCAATTTTAATCATCAAAATTTCATTACATGAAGAAACAGATGACAAATGAAACAGAGAAAGAAAGATGAATTAATTTCTATAAAGCTCTCTTGCAGAAAGAATAAATAGTGATTATCTCTAAACTGAAGGAACTAAAATATTCACTATCATTGGTTTCTACCACTGATGAATCCCTCAAAATGTTGATGCAGACAGTTAATTGATATAGACCATAGGTGTCAAATTCGCTGCATCATGTGACATCGCAACTTTTTTTGTATTGCCTGAGCTGGGGTGGGCGTGCCCTCCATATGATGCAACCAGCCCGTGGGCCAGCAGTTTGACACCGCTGATATAGACAGATTCTGGGGAACTTGGTATACAAAACAAGGCTTCTCTGTAAAATCCAGAAGGTATATGAACTAATGACAAAAAACAAAGGAATTATTCACTCTGGCTTGTCATTAAGCTGACAATTAAGTCAACCGTTCTGTCTAAGATGAACAATAAAATAATTCTGCCAGCATCTCTGGGAAGGGCCCTTCTAAACAAATTCCTCATGCAGTCCTATTATATACTATGGAATTTCAGCAAGTTATGTGTATTAGGGAGAAAAACACATTTTATTAAGTTGAATTCAAGTTCTAATGATGCTTCAAAGACATGAACACTAAATTATGACTGGAATGAAAATGTATCTATGCCTGCAGATAGGCAAGTGACTGCTTTGAATATTAGAGAAGGAAAACATTGTAGTTAATTTAATTGAACTCATTCACCATCTGTTTCAATTCAAACTTGTGGAGGGATTTCATGCTGAGGGGAAGCTTACTCAATCTACATATGGCTGCTGTATTGTCTTACTAATATAGACATACAAGTTAGACTTTCAAGCTACGGATTTCAACAAGTAATGTAGTTCTATTACAGGAAACATGAAGTATAGGTTCTTTTGAGATAAAAAAAATTTTAAAAGCAAAGAGAAAGGTGAATAAGTTTTCCTTCTATCCTTGGAAATTTCATTAGATATATAATCTTGATCTACAGTACATATGACTACAGAGGAAAATAATGTGGTCAGGTGGAAATCAAATACAAAATATTTGACAATTATGTTAAAATTAACATTTTCAAAATTGCTAGTTTTGCCTTCTTAATATTCTAATACTATAATAGTTAAATCATTGCTATATATACCGTTAAAGTATTTAATCTATACTCTAATAGTTTAAAAAGTGGAAATTCATTTTGATGTTTATTGTTAATGTCTTTTATCTGTTCTTTTGAAGGGTTTCATCTGTTGGAATCATGACATTATCTTCTTGAAAGAAATCACCATACTTTTAAAACATTGCCAGTATGAAAGGATGAAAAATGCAATCATTATTCTCTCTAAATATTTTATTTCATTTATTTAACTATATTTATAACCTACCCCAATTCAGGCAGAATCTCAGCGGGATCCATCAATATTGCAGGCAGAGAATTAAAAAATATAATTTATTAAAATAATCAGTGAATAATCAAAAACCTCATAGGGACCCTTGAAGCAAAACAAATTAAGGGCCAATATCATATTGATCTATAATTGGCCTATGCAAAGTGTTTTAGATTCATTTCATTTAAGCAATTCTTGCCTTGGAAATGATGCAGTTTTCTGTACTGAAATGAAGATGTAACCTGCTTTACTTGTTTGAAATAACTCAGGTAATGTTAGGTACTTCAGACCAGTTTCAGTTGGAGAAAGACCTCCTCAGCATTCTCCTGCAGCACTGACTGAAAATATTCCAGGCCAGATAACTTCAGGATTCCACAAACCAAAGTTGTCCACCTAGCAGACCTTCAGAACATACCAAAGATGTTGCACCCTCAGAAACTGTCAGCAAAAATTCCTCTCAGACTTTCCAAAAAATAGCTTCCTTTTGTTTTCTCCCATAGTGCAAGCTTTGTAGGTGAAGTCTAAAGAGAGTTCAAACCAGTCTGATGTGAAGCAACATGATTGCTTTGTATTTGAAGTAACTTGTTTTATTTAAAAATTCGTCAAAGCAAAGAACCCTGCTTTAAGTCTCATACTGCAGTTCAGATTTGATCTAGATTACTAATGCTATTAATCTATAATATGTGTCATTTATGTTCATTGTCTTTGTGTAGCTGAGATCTGAATTCAGATGATGGCTCTTCAGGATACTAATTTTTAAACAAAACAAATGAGGGGAAAAACGCAAGCAAACAATTAACATAATCTGCAATTATTTTAATGTGCACACCATGCATTTGTGAGAGAAAGGTGGAGACTATCAAAGTGTCTTAAATAGCTTCCTTAGATTTTGAGGGTCGATATATAATTGATGACTTTTTTTTAATTATTTGCAGCATGGAGATGCAGTCCATGATCTGATCCTGGATGTCATCACTTGGGTCGGCATTCTTCTGTCCCTTGTCTGTCTCCTGATCTGCATTTTTACTTTCTGCTTCTTCCGTGGACTACAAAGTGACAGAAACACTATCCATAAGAACTTGTGCATCAGCTTGTTTGTGGCAGAACTTCTCTTCCTTATTGGAATCAATAGGGCAGACCAACCAGTAAGTAACCAGTAAGAAAAGCTGAAATGTGTTCCTTATCTTAGTAATATTGCACCACTGGCCTATTTTCCGTTAAAATTAAAATTATAGCTAGCTAATTAGAGTAATCACTTGGAATTGAAGGGGCAGCCATTTTCAAATACATTTTCAAATAAAATGTCCCAAAACCATGAGAAAGCTTTCAAGCTCACAAAAATTCATTTTCATGCTGGATTTTAAATATCATGAGGGGTAGAACTAGAGATAACCATTACTGTAGCCCTCAGCATTTAGAAGGGGTTTTCAGCTATACCTTTTCTATATGATCTATTTTCTGGCTGACTGGCATTTTCATAAATACAGAAAGCTTACGTTGGTTTTATATTATAAGTTTTGATTTTGTTCAGTCATTCAATTTCTTCTATCTCTTCATGACCCAGTGAATATTTTTTTGTGTTCTTCTTGCGGTCCAAGGTCTTCTCAACAATATTCTCTAGTATTGCGGTGCCGCACTTTTTTTTTCTGGTTGCCTTTTCTGATGGTTTGACATTCTGATGTTTTCACATTGATATGTTATATGTAGGAAAACCATTGTTTTGACAATATATAGTGTGATGTTTAGTATTGTTTGTAAATCAATACTAGTTCTCCTCTGAAGTATCAGATATGTCTTTTCATGTCATTAGTTACCAACTCTATGCATTTGGTGTCTAGGAAGATAAAATCTGTTAGTTGGTTAAGGTTTGGGACTAAACATGGAAGAGACGACATTCAGGTGCACTCTAAGCAAGGGAAGCCCTCAGGTGGCTTTGAGTTAGTCAATTCCTCTCAAATCAGCATCTGACACAATTGTTGCTTTGGAAAAAGAATAGGAAAAGAGAGGTCAACTTGAGCATCTAAATTAAAGCTCTAAATCAGAAGAACTAACCAGCAAACCTTTCTTCCACCTATTTGAATATTATTGAAATTGCCTCTTCAGAACATTTATTTTTTTCATTTTAATACTGAGCAGCAGAATCAACAAGAGATTCTTCAACTCTTCCCTGTTTCCATTCAAATAATATCATTAGCATCTCTTTTTGAACTTTTGAGGTTTCTCCCAGCAATTTTAATTTGAATTCATATTTCTTCTAGTCCAACATTTATTATGTTATATGGTGCATTTAAATTAAATAAATAAGGTGACAATGTACGCTATAGACAAACTTTTTCTAATCTGCACTATTTATTTGCTTCATTTTAAAAACCTCCCTTTTTACAACCCTGTAGTCCCTTAATTTGGGATAGAATCGTGGAGATTGGATGGAGCAGAGCATTTACTGGCCAAATGCCCTTCCTGATGCCTACGTGGAGTTTGCAGCAAATATTTTTTCTTTGCACTTAGGAGAAAAATATGTGCCACTACCAAGGATTGAACTCTCAATCTTCCGAGGGAGAGGCGAGCATCTTCACCATTGAGTCACCACAACATTCATTCAATTGCTTTATAGTCTGTACTAATCAGTGCTTTTTTTGTTAAAAAAAAAAAAGGTGCCGGAACTCACACATGTCATACAACCCGCCTTGCCTACCCTACAAGGTTCCATCCAAAAAAGGTGCCGGAACTCCGTTCTAGGCGTTCTATGACAAAAAAAGCCCTGGTACTAATTACTGCTTCCTGGTCCTTATGTACATTTTTCAATAAGCAGACGAGATGACTCAGTATGCCTACATTTTTAAGGACTAGCCACAATTTTTGGTTGTCTATATAGTCAGAAGCCTGTAGAGCAAAAAAAAAATAAAATAAAATAACAGTCTTCTTAAAGTCTCTTGCTTTTTTCATTATCTGTTAAATGGAAATAATATGCATTCAAATATCTCTGCCTCTTCTGAATAAACTTGCACAGTTGTTATTCTATGTATTTTTCCAGTCTGGATTGCAAAATATTGAAGACTATCTTGGTAGTGTAAAAGATAAATGTATTTATTTAATATCCCAAAGGTGCTTTTTTCACGAGGCAACTGGATTTTCTTGTTTTTCTTGAAGACGTTTCGCTTCTCATCCAAGAAACCTCTTCAGCTCTGATTTATTTATTTAATAGTTTGAGCATTCTTTACTACTGCCTTTTTTTTGTATTGGAATATGTATTGACTTTTTCCACTTTTCTAAACTGCAAACAGCACTCCAACTACATTATCATGCAAAATATTAAAAGGTATTGATTTCATCAATTTCTGCACTTTTGTTGTTAACAGTTCGTTTGTTCTGCTTTTTAATACCTGGTTCCAGAATGTCTGGGTTTAGTTTAGCAATCAGATCTTCATATTTAACAATATTTTTGTATACTTCCATATATTTCATAATATATCTGCTTTATTTAAAAGATCTTTGCTCTGTTTGTTCTAATTGTGCCCATCTTAACATAAATGTTCTTGATTTCTGTGATTTTTCTCGGACATCTTTTCCATTCAATTGTTATCCCTAGTTTCTTTGCATTACTTATTTCAATACAACTTCTTCTCTTATATGCCGTTTTTACCTGGGGAGATTTCTGCTTGAATCTGTTGTCTTTTGCTTTCTTTCTTCAGCTGCTTCAATTTATCACTTAAGATTTATTTCACCTTCTTTTGCATTTGGGAATATTTTTGTTTGCTTCATATTTAGCAATATCAGAACTTTCTGAAAAGCATTCTGCAGCCATCTTTTATCAGATGTAATTGATTTTACTTTCACTGCAGAATTGTATAGAATACTGCTGGAATAATTGTTAGGTGGAAGGAACCAAGAACAACACAAGATGTTACTTCACAGCAGTTTATAACAACAACAACAACAATAATAATAATAATAAAAAGTTGGAAGGTACCTTGGAGGTCATCTAGTCCAACCCCCTGCTCAGGAAACCCTATACCATTTCAGACAAATGGCTGTCCAGTCTCTTCTTAAAAACTTCCATTGTTGGAGCATTCACAACTTCTGGAAGCAGGTTGTTCCACTGATTAATTGTTCTGACTGTCAGGAAATTTCTCCTTAGTTCTAGATTGTTTCTCTCCTTGATTACTTTCCATCCATTGCTTCTTGTCCTGCCTTCAGGTACTTTGGAGAATAGCTTGATTCCCTCTTCTTTGTGGCAGTCCCTGACATATTGGAACACTGCTATCATGTCACCCCTAATCCTTCTCTTCATTAAACATACCCAATTCCAGCAACTGTTCCTTATATGTTTTAGCTATCTTTGTTGCTCTTCCCTGTCTCAACATATTTTTTACATCATGGTGACCAAAACTGGATGCAGTATTCCAAGTGGTATTGTAAAGTGGTATTAACACTTCACGTGATCTTGATTCTATCCCTCTATTAATGCAGCCTAGCACTGTGTTGGCTTTTTTGGCAGCTGCAGCACACTGCTGGCTTATATTTTAGGTGATTGTCCACTAGGACTCTAAGAGCCCTCTCACAGTTACTACTATTGAACAAGGTACCCCCTATACTATACCTGTGCATTTGTTTTTTCTTGCCTAAATGTAGAACCTTACTTTTTACACTATTGAATTTCGCTTTGTTAGATAGCGCCCAATGTTCAAGTCTGTCAAGATCCTTCTGTATCTTAAGCCTATCTTCTGGAGTGTTAGCTATTCCTGCCAGCTTGGTATTGTCTGCAAATTTGATGAGTTGCCCATCTATCCCCTCATCCAAATCATTGATGAAGATGTTGAAGAGCACTGGGCCCAGAACAGAGCCCTGGGGCACCCCACTACACACTTCCCTCCATGTAGATGCAGTTCCTTTGAGGACCACATGCTGAGTATGGCTGGTCAGCCAGCTATGAATCCATCTGGTGGTGATGCTGTTAACCCACATTTTTTTTATCTTATCAAGTATTAGGTTGTGATCTACTTTATCAAATGCCTTACTGAAGTAAATTATATCTACAGCATTCCTCTGGTCAACTAATTTTGTCACCTGGTCAAAGAATGCAATAAGATTTGTTTGGCATGATCTGTTTATGACAAACCCATGCTGGCTTTTAGTAATGACTTTGTTTGTCTCTAGATATTTGCTGATTCATTGCTTGATTATCTTTTCCAGAATCTTTCCAGGTATTGAGGTCAGGCTGATAGGTCTGTTTCTTTATTACTGTTCACCTATAGACAGGAATCTTGTCAGACTAAATCACAAATCTGCATAATTATTACATATATCCTGTCTGGGCTAAGCTGCTTATTTGCTCCCTGGGAAAGACCTCCTCCATCATGTGACTCAGAGTCACCTGAACCATCAGATAAATGGCAAATAAATTTGATAAATAAATAAAAATAAATAAATCTGTACTATATTCCAGCACAATAGTCCTGTTCATCTAAAAAATGTATGTCAAAATTGGCAGAATATGATCCATTTATCTGGTGATAAGACTTATAAGCCTCTATACCACAAGGTTATTCTTTTGATTTATGAGTAGAGAATGTTTTTTTTCAGTTATATGTTTTGGATCATTTTTTTTTTAATTGAATTTTTTAAAATTTTTCAAAAAACAAAGCAACCCACCCCCAAACCTCCCCAACCCTCCCATTCCCTCCCCCGACCTTCCCAGAGCTAAACATAGGCTTAATTAAAATTTCTTCAAATAATCTTAAAAAAAAGAAATATAAACCATAAATAAATCTAAATATTAAATACATTAATTAAACAAACTATAAGATAATTAACAATAATATATATATATATATATATATATATATATATATATAAACATAAATACCAAAAAAATAATACTTAAAAGAAAAAAGAATAAAGAAAAGACAAAAAAATATAAAAAAATATAATAAGAATAAAAAATAAAAATAAAAAAGGAAATAAAATCTATAAGATATTTTAAATTTTAAATATAAGTTATCGAAAAACTAAATAGTATTTTTTAATATCCAACTTATATTGTATAAAATCTATCCATTTTTTCCATACCGCAAAATACTTCTCCTGCGATTGATCCTTCAAAAAAGCCAAAATCTTTGCCATTTCCGCCAGGTAAGAAACTTTA